TCTTGAAGGCTAGAAAATCTAAAAGTAATAAAGTGAATGTGTCAAATTCCTGGGGTTTTTTGCATTCCAAATTAAAAAAAGAAGGGCCTCTGAGACCCAAAACAAAAGTTCCAAGTGGATGTGACCACAAACAGGCCATGTCAGGGTAATAATGAATAAAGAAGGGGTAATAAAGAAGGGGACCCTCTAAGGAAAAGCAGAAACGTACTCCAACAGAGAACACACTGATGTCAGCCCCAGCAGCCAGCGCTGCTGCGGTCTCCTCCTTGACCATTTTGGTGATGAAGTTCTTGGCAGAGTTGGAGGCTTGCATTTGGAGCGCTGTCCAAATTGCTCTGGAGATCTGAGTGTTCTCATAACTTATATCTTCACTAGGATTATTTATAACACTTATTCTCACATTATTACTAGATTTCTGTTGACAAAATGAGAAATAAGAATGAATGATCAGGTTTTGAGTTTGAAATGTAGCATTTATAATCAGAAGTAGCAATTCATAAGTAGCAATAAAAATTTTTTTAAAGCCTTCAGAATTTCTCTTCTGCATACAGAATATAATTTAAACAATAGAGTCAAAAACCTATATGAGTTGGCCAGACCCATCTTTCCAACTTTATTTCTAACCATCTTGGGTAAATACAGTACGCATAACAGACCATCTGACTTCTCTTTCCTAACCCATTTTATATTCTTCTAACACACCAACCCTCTTGTTGGAATGTCCATCCAGACTACATCTCAGTTTTCCTTCAAGTTCCAAATATACTTTAAGGGGAACTACTAAACCATATTTCCTTCACAAACCCCTTTTATGCTCTAAGCAATTTCCTCATATGAAAAGGCAAGAGTCCACATAGAAGATTAAAAACATCAAGAACATAAGTAACATACATTGATATTTACTTCCATAAAGAGACAAATACAAGAATATTTATAGTACCATTCTACATAATAACCCTGAATTAGTAACACCCTGTCAAATCAATTAAAATTACCAGGAAACAAAATTTTGTGGTAAAGCCATATAATCAAACAATACAGAGTAAAAAAGCCATCAAACAGAACAAATTCCGATTACATGCAATATGACAAATAAGTGTCATAAAATACTAAGTGAAGATACCTAACATATAAGTATATACAATGTAAGTTTCTGTCTAAAAAAAAGTTCAAATACTGGGAAAACTATTCAATAAATTGAGAAGAGAGGCGGGGAGGTGGGGGTGGCGGGCACTGATTGGGCACAGCCAAGGTTAGGCTTCAGTAAAGATTTATATCCTTGGAAAAACTAAGAGCAGTTCTACTCTGTCCTATAGTGTCACTACGAGTCAGCGTTCACTTAAAGGCAATGGGTACATATTCAAGGTGGCTTCAAAAAACTTGTGAAAAAAAGTGGCATTAAAAGATTATGTAAA